GAGACAGGGTCTCCCTGTAGCCCCAGCTGTCCTAGAACTCACTATGTAGACCAGGCTGGACTCGAACTCACAAAGATCTGCCTGCCTCTGCCTCCCAACTGCTGGGACTAAAGGCATGCGCCGAGACTTTACATTCTTAACTATCATATTTTGCTATCTCTTATGTAAAAGGGGCCAAAGGGTTTCCATACTCCCAGGAAAAGTTGGCCAAGAGATAAAAGAAATATATGCCAAGCACAGTGGTATGTCCCTGTAATCACAGCATTTGGGAGGCTGAGGCAGGAAGATCAGAAGTTCAAGGCCAGTGTGGTGGTTTACATTAAATTCAAGGCCTGGATAGTAAGATCTTGTCTCAAATTTTAAAGAAAGAATATAAATGTAAATAGTTACTAAAAATTAGCATTAATTCTTGGTCAATTTTATAACTTTTTTAAAGTGTCATTTTTAAAATTTGCACTCTTGGGGCTGGAGAGATGGTTCAGTGGTTAAGAACACTGACTGTTCTTGCAGAAGACCCAGGTTCGAATCCCAGCACCCACATGGCAGCTAAAAACTATAACTCCAGTTCCAGGGGATCCAACAGCCTCTTCTGTCCTCCACAGGCATTGCATGACACAGGTCCACTTACCTACAGGTAGGCATAACAATCATACACATAAAATAAAAATAATAAATAAAATAGTTTTAAAATAAAATAAAATTAGCATGCTTTCATTTAAAATTTTTCTCTTTTAAATTAACATGGATAAATTACATATGAGGTACACTGTGCTACTGACACATCAAGTCTCACAAATTTCATGTTTCTAGTCTAATTCCACAAACTGAACTCTTTCAATTTTCCTAGCTTCATCTTTTTAGATAGCTGTTTTTACTTATTTATTTTTCTGTGTATGAGTGTTTTGTCTGCATGAATGAAAGTACACATGTACGTGCAATGCTCAGGGAGGCCAGAAGAGGGCATCAGACCCCTCCTTAGAACTGGAGTTATGGATGGTTGTTAATCACCATGTGGATGCTGGGGATCAAACCCAGGTCCTCTGCAAGAGCACCATTGCAACATCAAATTGTACAAATTGTAAACGTTAGTTTCTACATGGTATTTCATTGGTTTATTAAGTATCATTTTAGAAAAATGTTTTTTGTGTGGTATTCCCCAAGGCTTTGCACATCCTAAAACACTACACTGCATCCCCGGCCCTTCTTTGTGTGGTTAGTAAGTTGTTTTTCTCAATTTTAGACAGAGTCTAAGTCACCCAGGATGACCTCAAGCTGGTTATGTAACCCCGGAGGCCTTGCACTTGTGATTCTTCTGCTTCAGCCTCCAAAGCAGCAGCTAGGATTATAGGGGTAATCTACAACATCTAGTTATTTATATTCCTTTGCCTAGGAAAATCTAAGAAAATAATCAGACACACACACACACACACACACACACACACACACAAAAAAAAAAAATAGTTACATACGTATGTAAAAGTCTCATTCAGTCAATATTCAACTTGTTCTTACTATTTAAGCTTTGTATAAAAACCCCATGTTATGTCGGGCGTGGTGGTGCACGCTTGTAGTCCCAGCACTTGGGAGGCAGAGGCAGGCAGATCTCTGTGAGTTCAAGACCAGCCTGGTCTACATAGTGAGTTCCAGGCCAGCTGGGGCTACAAGGAGACCCTGTTTCAAAAAAAAAAGACCCCCTCCGCAAAAAAAAGAAAAAAAAACATGTTACTTAACAATTCCACTAAGGTTGGATCTGAATATTTTAATCCTTGACTACAGAGTCTTCCTATGCTAAAAATATGTTATCATCGACAGCCTGCTACAATGAGAGACATTAATGTCTTCTACTTCTACACTTTACACTGCTAGGATAAAGGTAAGAGGGTTCCGTATTCAGTTTTCTTAGGTGCTAATCTTATTCCCTAAAGTCATATATTATTTCTTAATAATGGCCTTTTGGTGGTGGGTGAGGAGGAATGAAGCTATGTCTTACTATGTTGATCAATACATTAGTACTTACGGATAAATCCATGTCTCCCAATCTTTTTTGTTCCTGATCAATAACAGATTCTAATACTTTATAGTATAGTATTTCTGCAAAACGAAAATGTTTGTTGGCAGTATCTGTAGAAATTTTAAAAAACACAAAAATTACATACAAAGAAAGTAAGCATTGTGGAAAAGACCCACCCTTCCCTTTTCTGGGGTTTTTTTTTTTTTTTTTTTTTTTTGGTCTTTTTGAGATGGTCTCCCTGCAACTCACTATGTAGACCAAGCTGCCAGGCTGGCCTCAAACTCACAGAGATCCATCTGCCTCTGCCTCCCAAGTGCTGGGATTAAAGGCATGCACCACCATGCCTGGCCTATCTGCAAAATAAAATTTCTATCCACAAAATAAAATTCAAAACACAAATCCATAGTTTCTACAGTTGATGGTGTAATTATTCCTAAGATTTATTCTTTTTTTTTTAAAGGCTGGTACTCACTATGTAGACCAGGCTGGCCTCAAACTCAGAGATCCACCTGTCTATGCCTTCCAAAATCCCTAAGATTTTTAAAATTTATTTTTTCCTTTGAGACAGGGGCTCATTCTGTAACCCAGGCTGGCCTTTACTCTCAGCAATAGACATGCCACAACCTCCCAAGTTCTGGGATTGTAAACAGGAACCACCATACCTAGAGTTTTTAATATCCTTCATGGCAACATTCACATGAAATGAAAGATGCATCTCTCTCCATTAAGATTTACACTCATGAGGCTGAAGGGATGGCTCAGTGGTTAAGAGCACTGGCTGCTCTTGCAGAAGACCTGGGTTCAGTTTCCAGCAGCTATATGGTAGCTAACAACCATCTTTAACAACAGTTCCAGGGAATCCGACACCCTTTTACCTCAACTCTGTGGGCACTGCACAATGCAGGTACACTTACATACATGCAGGTATTACACTCATGCACATAAAACTAAAAATGAAAAAGATTTACAGTTTTTTTCAGAGTTTTCAGATGGGCATGCCCTCTAAAGGTACTGTGGGCCCCTTGTCTTGCTCTGCTTCCTGACACTTGACCTGAGTGTACACCACCACACATTCCCTCCCATGATAATTTATCTCACCAGAAGTCCAAAACAACTGGGCTACTTCATCATAAACTGAAACTTCAACAACCAGGAGCAGAATAAAACTTTGGTTTTAGAAAGTTAATTATCTCATGTATTTTTAGTAAGAGGAACTGATTAATATATACACTAAGAGGAATATAACTGGTTTACTATTCTGATATACTTGGAACTGATTCATGACATCAAGAAATTCCCAGGCCAGCTTTGGTTATGTGCCAACTACATTCATTCATTCATTCATTCATTCATTCATTCATTCATTCATTTGTACTTTATTGTGTACAAATGTTTTGCCTGCATGTATGTAAGTGCACCCATGCATACAATACCCACAAAGGACAAAAGAGGGCATCAGATCCCCAGGAACTGGAGTTACGGAAAGTTGTCAGCCCCCATGTGGGTGTTGAGAATCGAACCCAGGTCCTCTGCAAGAGCAGCCAGTGCTCTTAACCACTGAGCTATCTCTCCAGCCTGGTGTCAACTATAGACTGAGAAAAATTCCAAAATCTGAAACTTTCTGAACATCAGCATGATGTCACAATTTGAAAATTCTACACCTGACTCCATGTGATATGTTACAGTCAAATGCAGGTGCACTAAAAACATGACATAGAATTGTTAGGCCACACACACACACACACACACACACACACACACAAATTTTGTGTAGACTTTAGTCCTACTCCAAAGGTATTTCATTTTGTATATGCAACATTCCAGATGCTGAAAACAGGCTGAAATACTGCTTTTCCTATACATTTCAGATCAGGGACTTGGCTGTACAGCATCTGTCCTTGTTCTTCGAATGTTGAAGAATCATAATACCTGTATTTAATGTCCATCTTGCAAATGAAAACTAAAGAACTTACAAGTAAAAAAGTACCAAAAGTTCAACATAATAATGATGTTGTTCTAAAAATTCAGTTTCTGAGAAGGGCCCAGAAATCACTTCACTGACAGAAAAAAAAAAAAAA